CGCCCCGCGCCCGCGCCCGCGCCCCTGACTCTTCTCTTCTCTTTTCAGGCTACGGTGGCGTCCAGCTTCGGCTGTTGCAGCCTTACGGTTTGGCCGCTCTGCCTGAAAGCAGCATCTACGCCAGTATTAAAAAGAAAATTAAAAAAAGCTCTTCTTCAAACTCCCAGTCAAAAAATAAATTCACTTAAGCAGGTACAAAAAGGATAGTATATTATTACAGGAAAGTTGAGAAATTCACAAATATAGATTGTCTTAACATTCATCATTAATCTCATCTTGATTTTAAGTTACTTGAAACCTCTCTCTTCTCACTAGTCGCACATGATATACGAGACCTTATGAAAACGTGAAGCCCTCTCCTTATTTTGAGGATTTACTTCTCAACGTTTATCAGGGAGGTATGGATACAATTCCAGCCTTTTCTTTATTTTTAAACCTTCATCAAATCTTTCCCCTCTTTCTTTTTAAGGCATTTGATCGTATCAGCTACTTAGTCTTAAAACCCAAAAGTTACAGGCAGGAGCGCCAGTCCCCAGGAGCGCTGCAGCCCTCCTCCCTGACCCCCTCCACAGCTGCCAGGGATCCATCCATGCCTTTGCATGCACTGAACAGTAAGAGGAGCTATACGCCCATGTATCTTTTTCCAGTATCTTCAAAATGAACTGTGGTGGTACTGGCCTTTTAGTTTCCTATATTAAACAATAAATATGGTTGATTAATTGCAAAATGGAGTTTATCTAGAATAATATCATCTGAGGTATACTTGCAGTGCTCTTCTTACACTAGAGTTTAAGTGCCTATTCCTTTCTTGCATACCGAGATCTCAAATGTTTTGAAATATTATTGTCATTGATGTTGGACCCATGCTACTTTGAAGATTACTGCTGCCAAACTGTTTCAGACCCCAAGACAGCAAAACAGGTCACAGCAGAAAAGCAAAAATATCCACCTTTGGGGAAAATAATTCCTTCTCTTGCCTTTGCACTCCCATTTTATTGCAAAGATCTTTTAGAATGAGAACTGAGAGGATAAATGGGAAACAAAAGGAGTTTAAATGCTGAAAAAATAATTTACCCCAAGTTCTTCATTATGCCTTTTTCCAGCTGACTCCTCTATACCTATCCTTCTGGAGTTGGAAACCTGGCCAGTCACATGCAACAAAATACCTCAGACACAGCGTTCATCATTAGATTGTTTCCCCAGTACTGTTACAAAGCCACCTGTTTTAGATAAAGAATCATCTAAATTTGTAGCTAGCACCTGTAGTATTTTAAGTTAAGCAAAAACACTGAATACAAAACAAAGAAAAAAAAATAACTGTAGAAACAAATACAAGAAAACCCAGCAAACCAGCCTATTAACTTGTAAGAAACTCAGCACAAGTTGGATCAGATCCTGGAGGAAGTATCAGCATTTCAACAGCTAAAAGCAGCATTACTGCATTTCTAGTAAGGTGCATTCGTGGCATTTGTGCACTCTTCCCCTTGTCCATTACAACCATCATATACAGAGTGAGTGAGCAAGTCTCCTTTTCCTATTGCCATTTCATCACTAATTTGTTGATGTAAATTTTAATGAAACTATAGAGTAATTGCTTTGAAGTATTTGAGGTGTGGTGGTACCCGCTAACCTAAGTGGGACTGGAGTTGTATCGGAGAGAGACTTTTTGAAGCTAAGGCACTTAAAAAGCAGATCTGTGAGGATACTTTTGAGTGGGGTTATGGCTGGCTCTCCTAACCAAAATTTAAGAAGGGATAGATCTATCCCCACTTTAGAGTGTATCACCTACCTAAAATTTGAAAGATACAAAATCTTCAAATTTGCAGAAAGCAATCTTATATTAAGTTTCAAGTGCTGGTAAAGGCCTTTTCCATGATCTTCATCAGGAATCTCTGGAAGCACAAGCAGTGATTTTCACTGAATTTCTCTGCTTAGTCAAATCAAAAAGGCAGGTAGTTCTTCAAGTATGAATTTCAGAACACTAAAGCACAATTATACAATAACTGTCGGCATAATTTCCCGTGCCTCTGAAGAAGCAAAAATTTCATGAGCTCTATCTACATCTACAGCTAGCATTAAGTATCCTCCTCAAAATAAGCCCATGTAACCCCCTTTGATACATATTTGATGTTCTCTATTTCCCCACCACCATTACTAGGCTTTTGAAAATGAATTTCAATCATGTCCTGCACACTTTCTTCATCATCTTCAGTCTCCTGAATTCCTTTCAGCAGAATGGTCTTCTTAGAAATCCCAGAGTAGATCTATTGAGGAAAGAAAACCAAAAGAACTTGTATTATGTATCAGCTGCTGCATGTACATCGTAAGGAACTGACAGATACTGAAAATAAACATATCTCTGAGAAGCTATAGCTGTGATCTTTGATTACTTTTTAAGATTTTGGACACTGTGGTATATTTTTAATCACTGAAACTAACAGAAGTTCTGAACTCCACAGGCTGCGGAGTCTGGCAGGTAATGCATCTAGCCTCTAACTTGCGTCTCCTACACCACTTAATGCACACGCTGGATTTCTGATGATTCCAGTCGGTATCACTCAATCTAAATCAATGTCAACACACCTGCAAAGAACGCTGTCAAATCTCACAAATGCACATGCTTTAGTTAAAGGCCTGATTACATACAGTATACAATACTGACTTGATTACAATCTGTTCATAAAAAGTAAAAGACAAAGAATTTCAGTGAGAATATGATGATCAAGTAGAGCAGTTCCCAGAAAAGGGGACATTATTTTGGTTGAGTGATTGAATACAAAAGTGATTGAACAAATGTTTCCTAGAATAACACTAGAATAACCTCTGCTGACACAACGAGGCATCAGATTAGGGCTGAATATGACAGTATCTTGTGATTCGGAAATACATTGTTGTTGTGTCTACTATTAACCTACTTCACTTCATAAACAATTCAGTATCTGCCTCCCGCCTAGCGTAGACATTATGGTAAATAATGATGCAATCTGATCAAGGAAAAATAGGCACACCCTTTTAGAATGAATTACAGCTTTCACACTGAAAAGCGTTAAGATTATCAACAGCATATTGCAGGCTCCCACTTGCTATGAAGTTTCACGGTTTGAATGACAAGAAAGCTTCTGCAGTCCTCAGAACAGAAAATTCTGTCCATACCTTGCATTTCCCATATATTTGTTCTATTTACGTGGCAGCCCGAGTTAGATTCTTTTACCTGAAGCTTTTCCAAGCGCTCTTCTGTGCTTGCGGACACAGAAACCATATGGCACCTTCCATTTACAAAGAAAGGATATTTAGTATGTCTCACAGAGCTGCGAGCTGCTGTAATGGAGAACGAGAAAATGGGGAATGACATTAATATAATCTAAAATATATTTTTGTAATCACATCAAAGAGAAACTAATCTTTTTTTATACAGATTTAGAAACTAAATATGTGATAGCACATTTGTAGATTCCTTACACACAATATGAAAAAGTTTATCTGAAAACTGGAACTGTCATTTCCAGCAAAGCAAACTAATTAAATATCCACAAAAGCTTCTGAAATAAATCTAAAGCAGCTGCATTAAATGGATGTGGCTCCACTGATCTTGGTAGAATTTCATACACTTAAACCAGAATGCCTAAAGTTAGGCAATCTGAATGCCTTTCTTAACTTCACTGTTGTGAATGAGAGCTAAAAATCAAACATATTTTCCTAATTTTCTCTTTCCAATATAAGCACCCAGGAATGCAGAGGAAAAATAGATTTTTGACAAAGTTAAAAAAGAAACAAAGCTCACAAGCTACATAAGGTCATGTTTGATCAAAAAGGAATGTGATGGAATACTACTTTATTTACAGATGTGTGAGTGAACCCACAACCCTTCCTAGGGAGAGTAAAGTAGAAAAAGAATAATTTGCTGCATTCAGCGGTGAAGTTAACATAGAAAGGGTGTGAGGAAACGGACAATACGGCCTGTAACGAAATGGCTAACAAAATATTGCATACGGTACCTTCAGGTCTGAGGAACGTAATTACAGCTGTTCTAGACCTCTTGTCATATTTTACATTCTCTACTTCTCCTCCTCCATGTTCAGATTTGTAGAAATTCAGCTCTAATTTGTCTCTCATCCAATCATCAGGAATTGACAGCTCTGGTATTTCAGAAACGTTGATCTTCTTTCCAGAAATAGTGACATGGAGCTAACAAAAATAACTTGTTTGCGTTTTGTGACTGAAAGCCACCCACAAAAGTGAGCCTAAAGCTTTTTAAGTACTGCAAGTTTGTATTTTTGTAGTTCAATACTTCAGTCAATTACCTCAAATTTGATTCCCATTTCAAGTGTAAAAGGCTTCACTCTCACATCTGCCATTTTGCTGTCCAGGTTCACAGTATGCTTACCCATTTTTATCAGCCTCTGAGCAACTGTAAGGAAAAAAATCACTAGTTTTCAGATATGAAAAGCCTTGCATAACCATTATGAAAATTAGACTGTCCCCCAGTCTCGTAAGCAAAATCTCTTGTGGAATCAATAAAGGAGAAATAAAATACAGTTAGCACGTGTACCTCTGTAAAATCTGGCTGGTTATAGGCAACAGGTAAAATGTTTTACTATTTTCAGAATGAAAGTTGCTGTCAAAAGATGCTCTCTCTATATAAAATATTAATACTAGACTTTACACATCTCACTTAAAATTCTTGGATGAAAACCACATCATTACTGGCTGTAGAGAACGCCTATTAGATATGTTAGTTTCCAGTCAAAACAAATGATTCGGACACTAACCCTCTGTCTGCAATATACTTGCAAAACATAAGGCTGAGCTACCCGCCAAGCAGGCCCCGCCAGAGTGCCTGCGGGCTTTTTGCAGCCAGGCACTCTGGCTGTTCAAACAGCAAGCTCCTCAGGGAAACAGGCAAGTTCTAGACTGCTCTGTCCCTCCATCATCTCAGATCTACCCATCAGTGACGTTCATTTTATAATTAAAATATGCACCATACCTTCCTCATCTTCAAAAGTAAGCACTGCTTGGTTTTTATTCAGTTTGAATGGGATTTTTGTAGTTACATAAAAAGTACAGTGAGTATTCATATCTGGATAATCATCCTTTATGTCTTCCATCTGAATGAACTTCATTTTCATTTCTGCCACCTTTTTTTTAATCTTTTAGAATCAAGATAGAAAAAAAAGTCATTTATTATGTAACAGAAAAATGAACAGTACAGTCTCACTTTGAAGTGCGATACATGCAAGTTTAACAATCAAGCAGATTGAAGTTATTGCTCATAAAACAGGTACACCCCTTAACTAATACAATTGTGTGTGTCTATTTTGGGGATTTTTGTCTATGAAGTTTTTTGTTTTTCTGTTTTTATTAACTTTGAGCTTGGACTTGACCTTATACATAGAAAACCCCATGGACTTCAACTGAAGCTTTTATCTGCACAATTAGAATATTTTTGGTATGAAAAATTTGCAAAATGCAAGTATCGGAGCCATTCACGTTACCATTTAGATGTGCCTAATCTCATCACTGCTCTGCAGCAAAAGCAAGTCCGCTAATAGATAGCTTTGCATGTTATCATCTTAGTAAAACAGGTAGCAATATCCATGTATTTTATAACTAGGACAGGTTAAAAGTGTTCATGGAAATTTTTGGTTAGGAAAGGCTATTTTAATATCCTTGAAGGAGTTTCAAGTATCTCTTTCTCTACCTTTACGTAGTTATTTCAAAAGAAAAACCCTGTGTGGAAAAAAAGACAAGGAAAAAAAAAAAGTTTGTGTCAAGATAAA